CTAGGACCTTGGTACTGCAAATTCAGGGCTATGGGGTAAACGGTTTTAATCTCTGTAACACCCCATGGGAAAAAAAATGGATAGGTTCATTACTGAAAATCTCTTGTAGGTCCGGAACACTCCTGCCATGTGTGTCAGCCCCTCCTGCTTTGTTCCTCATCTGCTGACTGTGTCTTGTCTGACATGTCAATGGTGTGGTCCATCTTTCAGCATCCGTCCTCACTGTGCTTCATGCCAACTACTGGCAAAACCTGCTCAATTAGTGTCATGGACATACTGCTGTGCAACTGTGCACTGCTGGGAGATGTTGCTAGGAGATCCCTTGAGTTCTTGTTTTATGTTTTTTGTTGTCTGTGGAAGGGCTTTTAACCTTTCTCCTACTTCATAAAGCTCCAGCTAACCTTGTGTCGGTGGCAACTTTTGCAGGACAATATTGGCTGGCACCTTCGCAGCCTGCTGTGCATGGTGAGGACACAATAGTTCCCTAGTTAGGAGCTCTTCTGCCACACTGTGGTGGTGGGAATTGGGCTGCCAGGTCTGTCCATCTATACCTTTGTCTTCATCTTGAGTGGTTGCCTTTTGGAGCAAGTGGCTCTTGGGCTTCCTAGAGCTGTAAGGGCTCTGCCAATCTTTCTGTCTGCCCTGCAGTACATGTGCTTCCCAACAACTTGCTTCTTTCTGGGACTTTTTCTGCTGCTCTTGGACTGTGGGTTGTATTTGCCTTTTCTCTTGTACTGGGGGTGTCTAGATATGTCTCCAGCCCACTTTATGTGGCCCAGGCTTGGTACACTCATTGCAGACTTTGGATGTTGTCCAGAGTCTTCCAGGCAGCATGGAGATGTGTCATAAGGAAATGGCAGCTGAGCATTTAGCTGATGGCCAGGGGCACCTGCCTGTTAGGGTGCCTGGGAACCAGTTGCCTTTGTGACCCTGCACTCTGCTCCTTCTCCTTACAGAAATGGACGAGGCAATGCGGTCCTTTGCAGAGAAGGTCTTTGCCTCTGAGGTAAAAGATGAGGAGGTCAGGCAAGAGATCTCTCCTTTTGATGTGGAAGAGGTCTGCCCCATCTCACGCCAGGAAATGAGACTGCACATGATGCTTCAGGAGAGCTCTGCCCCAATAGAAAAGCGGTAAGAAACAACCAGGGCAAAAGAGAAGAGTGTTGCACATCCCCAGCCAGAGCTGGAAGAAAGCAGGGGGAACATAAATCAAGGCCTTTGGAAACAGCTCACTATACTCAAGGATAAGTCCTTGGTAGTCCCTGTGCATCTCTCGGGTACTTTAGCGTTTCCTTTCCAACTGCTCCCACTGTTGGACTGTTTCCTGGGTGTCAGCATGGCAATGGCCACAGAGCTGTTGGAGAGGGAGACTTGGAGACCTTTCTCAGGAAAGGTTCAACTTCCAAAGACCACACTTGAAAATCTGTGGCTACTTTGTGTGCAGTGGCCTCTACTCTCGACAGTGTTTAAGGTGCTCAGAAAGCACCGCTGAGATGATTCATGTTGCACACAGTTGGAACACGGCTGTGGTAAATGTGCTTGACTCTGCACCTGCATGTGGCCATGGAGTCAGGACTGTTTGTCTGAGCTTTCCTCTCTGGCAGAAAGAAGCGCCTGCTCCGCATGAACACGATCGCGTTGGCAGTCCCTGTGGCTCAGAAGTCTTTAACCAGATTGTCCACTATTGATGAGGTCATCTCTACCACCCCCCTGTACCAAACTGTGCCTGACTTCCAGCGGGTACAGATCACAGGGGATTATGCGTCTGGGGTAGGTACTTGCACGGCCATACCCTTCCCCATGCTGACTACCAGCTCATCTCATCCCTGCCTGTCCCTCAGTAGTGCCCAGTGTCACAGGAGTCTGTACCAGGTGCAGTGGGGGTAGTCTGTGTCTTCCAGCTCAGTCTGTGTCTCGCGGGTATCTGATGGTGCGCAGCTGCATCCGGGAGGATCTGGAGCTGAATTCTATAGCAGGAGTCTGGGGGGTGCTGCATGCTTCCCATGGGGTTCTCCGAACAGGGCACGAGGGAGGGCATGGCAGGGTAGGTGGTGCTCATTCTGTTGCAGCCTGCTCCTGCTTGCACCCAGCTATATGTCTGAGATCTATGCATGTTGTGGAATTCCAGAATCGTTGAGGTTGGCAGGGGCCTCTGAAGGTCATCTTGTCCCAACACCCTCTGCTCCAGTGGGGTCACCCGGAGCCAGCTGATCTCAGGACTCTTAGCACATCCTGTGCTAATTCCTCCTTCTTCTGCTCCACAACCTCCTATTACATTTGTACAACTTCTGAGACAGGTTGTTCCCTCTTGGTTTAGAGCTAGTTGCTCAGCTTGGAGTTGCATAGCAGAGGAGCAATTAGGGGAAGTTGAAAGTCCCTGCATGCACAGGCACACTCCTTCTGCCATGACTGTAGCCAGCTGCAAGTGTTGCGTGGTATTCTCCCATGCTGCTTTACTCTGATCTCTCTTGACTGCCCAAAACACTTGTCTGTGCAGTAAATCAAAAACTCTTGACACATTGGGTCAGTGTACGTTGTTGGTCCTGCTTTAGTTTCAGCCTGGGCTCCAAAAATAGCTTTCAGTGTTTTGCCCAGGTCTGGATTCCATTTCAGTGCCAACTAATTTTGCAGTGAGGAAATGTAAGAAGGGATGACAGCTGGAATTCATTGGTTCTGGTGTAAGGAACTTCCATTTGCCACACCTAAGGCTTTGCCTGTCATCCCTTCTTCGCCCTGCTCAGGGAGAGCCACGGGGAGGGAGTGGATGATAAGGTACATATTTTGCCATGAACAAAGTTGTCCGCTTTCCATCTTGGAACACCAGGGTACCTCTTGAGCAACTAGGTTCCAGTTGTGAGCTTGTGTCCAGTAACAGCCCTCTTGCAGGTGACAGTTGAAGATTTTGAAGTTGTCTGCAAAGGCCTGTACCGTGCCCTGTGCATCCGGGAAAAATACATGCAGCAGTCTCTGCAGAGGTTCCCCACGACCCCATCTCAATACCTGCGTAGTATCGAAGGCGAGGTCTGGAGGCCGAGTGGCACTGGCCCAGGTATATATATATATATAGGCACCTTGAGGGTTTTCCTCTCTGGCTTCAGCATGTGGTGGGCAGGGATCAGAGAAGGGTTCCAGAAGTGCTCCATCAGGGCGTCGCTTGCCTGGGCCTCCTCTTCAGGGTCACAGCAGTGGGGCTGTCCCTGCCCTCTGCCCGATGGGGTGGAGCATGGCAGGCTTGTGGGGTTTTGGCTGGCAGCCTGTGCCTCATGGTGTCTTCCTTTTGGTCCAGTGTTCACCCCACCAGTGAAGGATGGACAGGATCCCTTTGAATCTGCGAGTCTCCCTGAGGACCTGGGATACCATGTCCAGATGAAGGATGGGGTGGTTTACATCTACAGAGACAAGGCAGCAGTTGGCAGAAATGAGCCAAAGGACCTGCCCTACCCCAGCCTTGAGACCTTTGTTGACGACATGAACTTCCTCTTGGCCCTGATTGCAAAGGGACCTCTGTAAGTGCACAGCCCAGCACTACTGAGTGCAGCTGAAGAGCTCCTGCCTCAGTGGGCAGAGGGAGGTCAGGGCAGAGCCAGGGTTGCCCCCTACTCTTTCTGGGAGTAGGGAGGAACCTGCTGATGACATAGCTGAGGCTTGCTGGCTGCCACAGTGTCCTTGGCCCTTGTCAGCCATTTTGATTGAGATATTAAGCAAAGTCAGTGTTCGGGGATTGGAGATACGCCCTGCAGGTATGCTCACACCTTGCCAGGCCTTCCTCCAAAGCTCTCTAATAGAGCCAGGAGGAGCACCTTAGGGAAGCAGGCCAGGTCAGCATGAGCTCCTCCACCTCAGGTGAAAGCTGCATCCCCGTACTTGATGAGCCATGCCCCCATGTTGAGGGGTAAGGAGCCCAGTCACTGTTCTGCCCTTTGCTTTCACTAGTAAGACCTATGCTCATCGGCGCCTGAGTTTCCTCCAATCCAAGTTCCAAGTGCATCAAATGTTAAATGAGATGGAGGAGATGAAAGAGCTGAAGAACAACCCCCACCGGGACTTCTACAACTGCCGGAAGGTAAATGGCAAGACTCACAGCCCTAGTGACTCTGAAGATGAGCTGTCTTGGTGCCTTGCCCTCCCTGAGAACTGGAAACTAGAGTCAAGGTCGGTGGCATCTATGATGTTTCTGCTAACGGGATGCTGCTGACCAGACTGCTCTTGGCCTAGGCCTATTGTGTTCATCTGCTGGGCTGAGCCGTGCTTGCCACGCAACGTGGGCTCACCTAAGGGGTTTGTTAGCCTCCCTATGATCCTACCTGAGCACCCCAGCTTGAAGTTAGATAGCTGTCCTTTTGGTTTCTCAGGTGGACACACACATCCATGCTGCAGCCTGCATGAACCAGAAGCATCTTCTGCGTTTCATCAAGAAATCGTACTTCATGGATGCTGATCGTGTAGTTTATGATGCTAAGGACAAACAGCTCACCCTGAAACAGCTTTTCCAGCAGCTCAATCTGCACCCCTATGACCTGACAGTGGATTCCCTGGATGTCCATGCTGTAAGTGGTAGGACATTTGCTGTAAGACCACTCTTGGGTCACTCATATCCATCCCTGTAGGCATGGCTTTTCCTCTCCCTCTGTAGCCATGACATGTTGAGCATGTTAGTGTTTATGGCAGGATGTGGCAGCTCCTGGCTTTCCCATTTTGTGTTGTTTGGGTCAGTCCCTGCTCAGCTGATGTGCTTAGACGCAGTGGTCTGTCTAGTATTTACCCTTCATTCCTCCTACTCCAGGGGCGGCAGACGTTTCACCGCTTTGACAAGTTCAATGCCAAGTACAACCCCGTGGGTGCCAGTGAGCTACGTGACCTCTATCTGAAGACAGAGAATGCTATCGATGGCGAGTACTTTGCTACCATCATCAAGGTGAGAATACGGGGGGGAGAGACTCCTTAAGCTGTGGTGCTGCTGTGCCCAGGGGCTGGAAAGTCCCCACGTAACTGTCTCTTCTGATTTGCAGGAGGTTGGCTCTGATCTAGAGGATGCCAAGTACCAGCATGCGGAGCCTCGCCTCTCAATCTATGGGCGATCCCCTGAGGAGTGGCCCAAGTTAGCCAGCTGGTTCAACAAACACAGGGTCTATTCACCCAACATGAAGTGGATGATCCAAGTACCCAGGATTTAGTATGTACTGTGGGCCTGAGAGAACCCCGTGCCTCACACTGCACTATACCTCAGTTTTTATCCTCAGGGATTATAGGGACAGTGGGCCATGTTGCTTCTCTGCTAGCAGCTAATCCTTGTCTCTGTCCACAGTGATGTATTCAGGTCTAAGAATTTTCTCCCACACTTTGGGAAGATGTTGGAAAATATCTTTGTTCCTGTGTTTGAGGCAACTGTCAATCCTCAAGCCCACAAAGAGCTGAGCGTATTTCTACGCCATGTGAGTGTGCCCCGATGTTGTCAGGGTGTGGTGAGAACTCACATTCCTGTCTGTGCAGAAGAAATGGGGTATTGTCCCTGACATGGAAACTGTCATCAGTGGGCTTGTGGCCCTGCTGCTGCATTCTGGGAAGTGGGGCGTGTGCCCAGCAGTGCTGTGAGGGGTCAGACTCCCTGAGCTGCCTGCTCTGGGACTGTGAGAAATGCTGCCCACTCACCGCCCGCAGAAGTGGTTTAGTGTAAGCTTTTTTTCTAGACCCTGGTAGAACTTGGGGGTTTGTGAAGGGCAGGGTCTGGAACTTTGCCCCTTGCTCTGCTCTTGAGTGGGGCAGGGTACAGGCTACAGCTGGGCTATGGTGAGCTGCAGTGGGAGCCAGCCCAGGTGGGCATCATGAGAGCGGGAGCTTTGCGATGCAGCTTCTTTGTTACCTTGCCAAGCAGATCACTGGCTTCGACAGTGTGGATGATGAATCCAAGCATAGCGGACACATGTTCTGCGTCAAGAGCCCAAAGCCAGAGCAGTGGACTTCTGAAAAGAACCCATCTTACACCTACTATTTATACTATATGTATGCCAACATCCTGGTGCTTAACAACCTGCGCAGGTGAGGCCCAGGATCTGCTATGGGACTTGTGATGGGCTGGCAAAAGGGGGGCTGCCTTCTGAGTTGTCTCAGTTCTTTAACTGTTGGTGTGGAAGAAGCGTGGCCCTCCTTGCTCTGCCACCAGTGTAGTTTGGAGCTTCATCTTGCAGAATAATCCAAACGCTCTTCAGTAGGAAGTGTGATGGACTGGGGTGAGAATTTTTGGATTGCAGAGATGCTGGGCAGGCAGTCTTGCATCACGTGCCACCTAACCCTGCTGCCTGCCTGCTCTGAGCCCTTCTTTCCTGTGCCTAGGCAGCGTGGTATGAACACGTTCCTCTTTCGTCCACACTGTGGGGAAGCTGGGGCCATCACACATATACTTACAGCCTTCATGACAGCGGATAATATCTCCCATGGCCTCAACCTCAAGAAGGTAAGTGGAGCAGTCTGCCACAGAGCAGCCCAGACATGGCAGAGGAGGGCTCCACCGTACAGAGGAGGGCCTCCACTGTAGCTTACAGTTAATTGTGCCTCTGGTTTAGACTGACACAGCCTGACTTCAGGCAGATGTTACATGATTCTCTCGGTTTCTCCAGGTGTGTTTGGGGATGTCGCTGAGAAACATGTTCAAATTTCAGGGGTTCAGCCTCACAGGCCTATCATTGGGTACGTCTAATATTGCTGGAGTCAGCCGATTTCTGAAATTAGATGGGATTGCACTCTCTAAGACTCTCAGGCCCTGGAGGATTGCTGACTTGCCTATGTATTTTCTTACAGACAAGAGCTCTGTATACCGCATTTCCTGGCTGGGGCACCAGGCTGCTCTGAGGAGCTACCCCAGAGAGTTGGAGGGCACAGCAACCTTATCCCTAACCTGGCAACTCTGCTTATTTTTGCAGACCCCGGTGTTGCAGTACCTGTACTTCCTTGCCCAAATTCCCATTGCTATGTCCCCACTTAGCAACAACAGCCTCTTCCTGGAGTATGCAAAGAATCCGTTGCTTGACTTCCACCAGAAGGGCCTCATGGTGTCCCTTTCTACAGACGACCCCATGCAGTTTCATTACACCAAGGTACAGCGTGAGCT